CCCCCCCCCCCAACCCAGGGCCATCACTAGGCCAGTCTGGCCATTTTTACCATGGCTGAGCAGTTTTTCAGGACAGTTTGATTGAACGCCCATGCCACAGAATCACCCGCTTAAGGAGGTCACACAAGTCAGCGGTTTCAACACATCAGAGCTGGGCAGCCCTCACCGCCCGTTTCTGAGCACCCCGCCGGGAGGGGCCTGCAGACAGAGCAGCCGGCTGCCCCGCCCTCGCCCCCCCCAGCGCTGTGCCCAGCCCTGCGGCAGGCTGCTCCTGCTGGCTGCTGGACACGCACGTCCCCGAAATCCACCCCGCGGGTCCCTCTCTGCTCCACTGTTACTGGTTTCCCAGCCAGCAGGCACTCGGGCGACTCCCAGTTTGGGGGGGCGGCGGGGGGGATTATAGACACACAGCCACACTGAGGGCGTCTCACTCTCTCTTAGGGTGTTTCAACACACCACACCCCGAGCGCCTACCTGGGACCCTGGAGCACAGCGCCGGGCAGGCGCTCAGTGAGCAGAAAGCTGGACCTCACCAGGCGGAGCAGAGCAAGCGCCAGGGCCAGTGGCCAAGCTGGGAGGCTCTGTGGGGAGGCCACAGAAATGGCCAAGGGGCTTTCAAGGGGACTCAACAGTGAGTCAAGTTAGAAATGGGGTGCTTGTGGGAGGAGGATGGAGCCCCAAACTGACCCGAGCCTCTGGGCGAGCGGGCGGGGCTGCAGAGGGGACCGGGGGACCCTTCCCGAGAACAGTTCTGTGCTCATGGCTTGGGCAACCTCAAGGACTCAGGTGGAAGGTGGGGCCTTCGCCGGCGTGGGCTTCGCCTCGCCTCGTGCACCTGTTCCCTGAGTCGCCTGTGCCCAAGGGCCAGTGTGCCAACCCCACCTGGCCACCAGGCCACACGCTTCCACGATGCCGGTGTCTCTGCCCTGTCTAGGCTCCAGGTTGCACAAAACATCCTCTGCATAGAGCCTGGACCGCCACGAGCTGCTCCCCACTCTGGGGGGTATTTGAAGAGTTTTCTAAGGGGCCTCTGACACGACAGGATTTCCATTCTACTTTCTGTCTTCCGAACTCACCCCTGGCGGTGTACTGAGGGGAGCTCGTACCCGGAGAGGGAACGGGGCCATTTCATACGAGGAGAGACTAAGGTTCAGAGATGGGCAACCTGCCTGAGGCGCACAGAAGCGCGCCCGGGCCCTGGCTGGGGCTCCACGCTGCCCGGCCCCAGGGCCTCCCGCCACTGGCCTGATGCCTTGTCTCCGGGACAGAGCGCGGGCCCCCGGGGAGCGGGCTCCTCTGCCCCCGGCAACAGCCTCTTTCTCCCTCGAACTGACGCCTCCCTTCATCTCAAGCGGCTCCCTTGCTTCAGTTTCCCCGACCAGAGGCCAGAGGGGCCTCCGCGCAGGGAAGACACAGGCGGTGCCCCGTTTCAGAGACGCCGCCTCCCGCCTGCGCGCACTTCGCCCGCTCTGCGAGGAGCCACCTGCCCGTCACCACCTGGCGACACCGGCTCTCAGCAGCCTGGCTCCTCCGCCGGCCAGGCTCGGGCGGCCGCTCCTCCACTCAACCAGCACCGTGACGGCCTGCGGCCTGGACACTGGGGTCCAAGCCCCCCAGGACGTGCGGTTTGAGATGTTCGTTCTGCTGTGTGCCCACAGCCCAGGGACGTGCCCCACCCACCACACCGCACCCTCTGTCCAGCTCATCAGTCCGCTGTCCGCGCACCAGAGCGGGAGCTCCTTGCTCCCACTTCTGGAGGGTCCGCAGCTCCCGGCTCAGACACACCGGACCGGTGGCCCACGCTGCCCTGTGCCCCGTATGTGTGTGCCCGAGCAGCCTCCCCTCCCACAGTGGCGTGCTCATGCCACGCCTGGCAGAGTGGACACTAATAAATGGCTACTGCCCTTGTCCCCACTGCTGTCGCCGCCAAAACCCTGCAGGAGAGCCTGGAAAGAAAAATCCCAACGCACGAGGCTGCAGCGGCCCGGGAAGACTGAGCCAGTCACATCCAGGTGACACTCCTGTCACTGCCCAAGCCCCCGTGGGCGACGTATTCTGACCGCCGACTGCACTGAGGACAGGTGATGCTGTTCAGGACACGCCAACATAGAAATGGGGAGACTGAGGCGCAAAGCACTGAATGATTTGCAAGAGTCACATAGTGGTCAAGATCCAGGCTCTTGAGGTGGACAGGGCACGTGTGCCATCCCTCGGCTCGACCCCTCAGCCCCGGCCGGCTGTCTGGTGATCTGCAGTGGCCGGTGCTGAGCTCTCGGGCGTCGAGTGCTGCCCCCCCAAAACCCCCCAACCCCAGGGCCGGTTTACCTGGGAGGGGCTGGAACACGCCCTGGTTCTCCACCTCAACCGCCAAGTCAAAGTGGGAGCAGTCGCTCAGGGTGGCCGCCTCGCTGGCCGCTCCGGGCATCAGGCCGCTGATCCTCAGGGGCAGCTCCAGGGTCTGGCCCACTCGAGCCTCCACCTGGCAGGGGGCGAACTCCATGCTGCTGGGCTCGATCACGTACACCTGCAGGGGAGGGCGCCGCTGGGGTCACCGGCCTCCACGGGGAGGACCAGCCTGCCGCTCCGACGGCAGAGGCGCCGCTTGGTGCTGGACGCGCGGACACGCCAGCGGGGAGACGGAGCTGGGCACACGATGGAGGTGCTGGGACTGGGTGACGGTCAGGGACGGGCTGCCGGGGAAGGCGTCTCTGAGCTGGCAGGCCCTCGGGCCGGAGCGTCGCGTCCGGCGGCAGGAAGGAGAGGCGACTGTGCAGGCCTGCAGGGGGCTGCAGCACCCTCAGTGGCGGGAACAAAGAGCTGGAGCCGGCAGCCGCTCCCTGCCCGCCTGTGCCCGTGCAGGTGCTGCCTTCCAGCCCCTCTCCCTCTCCAGGGCGGCTGCCTCCGGCCAGCCCGTGACCTGCACCTGCCGGGGCTTCTCCGCACTGACCCCTGAGCGGAGGCCGCTCTCCTAGGCCGCCCGCCTGCAGCCACGCAGGCCTCTCTGCAAACCTGTCCCTCTC